CAGACCAAAGGGGGCTGAATAATTACGCACACCCCACTTTTCAGTTATTTATTTGTAAAAAATGTTTGGAATTGTATGATTTTCCACTTCTCAAGTGTACACCGCTTTTGTATTGGTCTTTAGCGTGGAATTCCAATAGAATTGATTCACTGTATGTATTTTTTGTCTGTTTGTTTGGTAGATTTTTGTTTTTTTGCCCTTTATCACCGTTCCTCTTCCCCGCTGTTTTTCTGTCCCTACCTCCCTTTCTTTCCCCCTTTTATTTCCCCCAGTCATGCCTGTCCCATGTGTAGCAAGTGAAAATAAAATAAAATGAAAGCTGCAAGCACCGTTATGAGGGCCCTCGCACCCCGGCGCGTTGAGCCATGCCCAACACCTACAACCAGCACGTCCAATCTGATGTCACATTGATAGAATTCATGCATTCAACCACCAGCTAAAATTTCATCTCATTCAATCATGATTATAGTCGTCCCACTAGGTAGCGCTCTAACCATTACTGACAAATTGCATATCAAACATTTCCGAGCTCGACTCTCATCACACCTGTGACGTTTGGGAAAGATTGGACATTGTGTTTTTGAGTGACGGCAGATTACAGATTTTTGGTGAGTGATTGAAACTCTAACTGCCGCCATGGGGCTGCACAGGTTACCCATCACTATACTGTACAGTGTAAAAAATGACATTTCCTGTTCCTACTAGGTGGTGCTGTCACTGATGTCAAATGTGGCAGTTGAGATATGTTCAGGCGTGGAGCCTTACCATATCTGTGCACTTTGGTCCAGATCGGACAATGTATGACGGAATGAGAGGTAATACGATTTTCATGGCGAATCATCAAAATTTGCCATAGCGCCACGGCCACATTGTATCCCAGAAACACAAAAGCTCCGCAATTTAACATTGCCCAGGTGTGTAGTTGACACTGACCAAATATGAAGCTTAACGATTTATCCCCAAGGAGGAGTTTGCAAAATAACAAGACATTGAAATGGCAAAATTAGAGCCAAAATGTCACCTTCAATCCAAAATGGCTGACTTCCTGTTGGGTTTAGGACATGGCCATAATAGACTTTTTTGTGTGTCTCCTAATGTTAGATAGCCCTATTTCATTTTTCATGGTGAACCACGTTGCCACCAGAGTGCGCCGGTCAGGTTAATCTCACAATTTTCTCACTGTAGCATTATGAGGGACTGATGTTAATATTTACCGATTTTGAGGTGGACCTGATGAAGCTGTGATAATCAGTATATCAAAGTGAAAGACATGACATTTCCTGTTCTCACTAGGAGGCGCTCTTTGTATTCCTGACAATGGGCATATCAATCTGTTCAGGGCAGGTCTGACATCGCGCCTGTCTGGTACTGATCAGACTGGATTTCTTTGGATTTCTTTTGAGACATCAATGTTCGCCATGCTGCTGGGGTCACACCCTTTCGCAAAAACTCACACTTTTCACTGTAACCCAAGACCAACTCCTTAAGGCTTTCCTGGAGAAAACTGAGGTTGCAGATGTCACCCATCACTATACTGTACCCCAAAGTGTAAAACATGACATTTCCTGTTCCCACTAGGTGGCGCTCTACCTGATGTCTACTATGGCAGTTGAAATATGTTCAGGGCTGGAGCCTTATCATATGTGTGCTCTTTGGTCCAGATCGGACAATGTATGACAGAATGAGAGGCAATAAGATTTTCATGGCGAATCATCGAAATTTGCCATAGCGCCATGGTCACACTGTATCCCGAAAACTCAAAAGCTCCTATTAAATTCCAGTTCTTTTTGATTCTCTACGGCCAAAACGACATGGCTCAAAGTGGTCTTTTTACTTTAAAAATGATCTTTAATTTTACATATCCCAGGATATGGAGACTGAGCACAGAGAGAACATCGGCTAGTCCCAGGCAGAAACAGGAAGCCAAGTTATTTATGTACCAAACGTCACACCCACTTCAAGTTTCGATCAAACACTCTGCTTAGTTTCACTTTCTGCCTCTGCAAAAGCCTGCAGTTTCCTGTCAGCCTGCAACCTAGTTTTACAATGAAGTCTGGGCCTCTCATAAAACACACTAATCAGCATTTAGATTATATATTTATTTCTTAACACTCCGCAATTTAACATGGCCCAGGTGTGTAGTTGACACTGACCAAATATGAAGGTTATACAATCAAAACCCAAGGAGGAGTTCGCAAAAATACAAGGCATGGAAATAGCAAAATCAGGGCCAAAATGTCACCTTCACTTCCAAATGGTGGACTTCCTGTTGGGTTTGCGTCAATGGTCCCACTGACTTTTTTGTTCATCTTGGCATGATACATATGTGTGCCAGATTTCATACATGTAGGTGAAACTATGTGTTCGTAGGGCTTCATTTAACAAGGCATAGGTGGCGCTCCAGAGCAATTTTCCAATGCTCACATGTAAAACTGTTAAAATACAAACTTTTTCACCACACCGGATATGTGAGCAAAATTTCATGAGTTTTTGAGCATATTTAGGCCCTCAAAAAGGCGCTTGTTTTGCCTGAATAATAAGAAGAAGAAGAAAAGGAGCAGATACAATAGGGCCTCCGCACTCTCAGTGCTCGGGCCCTAACAAGCAACTGGCAGGAGGGTTAATCTACACTTTTCTGAAACTTGGGTAGCTGTTTCAGTTGCTTTGGCACTACAGCGACCTTCTCATCCAGCTCTTAGCAAAAAAGCTAATAAGAGTATTTGCTAAAATATTTAACAAATAGACATATAAAGCAGAAAAGGCACTTAAATATGTATGTAACAAGTGACATAAGTAAAAATCCTGTGATTTACCCACAGGCTCCACTGGAGTCAAGCATAATAACAAAGAGAAACAGTTCTTTGTGATTGTCAGAAAATGTTCGAGTCATAGCGTGTCAGCTGCCACAGACAAACCACATCTCAGCCTTTTTGTGTTTCAGTCTTGACACCATGACTCTGCTTATTGCCCCTTGTCTATGTAGCCTCGAAACCCTTCACCTCGTGATGCGGCTCAGTCTATCGCACACGACGGACAGGTACTGAGTCAGCTTCACCATGGCAATGATGACGCTTCCTCCAATCAAAGTGCAGGTGGGCCAGAAGAGGGAGTGGAAGACAGCGATCTGACTGTAGATTTGTGTCAGGATGGCGCTGTCTGTTTTGTCTGTGCGGTCCACGAAACACTGAAGTGTGTGCTGAGACCGAAGACGCTCAGAAATGTTCTGAACCAAGACCTGCATGGCTGCGTAGTCCTTACGGCACTTTGGGATGTAGAAGCACTGAACGACAGGATAGAAGAAGAGTGAAAGTAACAGCTGTGTTTGGTAACTCTTTTAGATTATGCTATTAGTGTAAAGCGTACTGCTGTTCTCTCATTTTTGCTGTGTGCTGTTTAGATGGAAAAGTGCACACCAAAGATGCCAGCAATTACTGAGTACCTCAGGGTTGTTGTCCTGCGTCTCCTCGTTATGGAACAGTCGTACCACTTTTCCAGATGAGTTAAGGCTGACATACACCTGGAGACAAGGGTAGCGAGACCTCTTCCAGCACTCTGTTCCACAGCTGTATGAACAGTTCACATCCCAAACTATAGTGGAGTTGACAATAGTGCAGCTTGTCTCATCGGTCCACACGCTGGAGAAAAAGACAAAGCCTCCACTTGATGTTATGAGGATATGCAGCAGAAAGTTTCCAAGGAAACTCCTCTGATAAGATTATTCGCAAGACCTTTCTTAAATATTACTGACATTTAATTCAGCCTATTACCTGTCAGAATAAGAGCGCAGGATGGTGATTCCCACAACAAAGTACATCATGATGGAGAAGAAGACCATGCTGAGGCCCAGCAGGATGGCTCTGTCCTCTCCTGCCCTCAGAGCTGTCACAGTCTTCCTCCTGTCCAGGACCTCATATTCACGAATCTTCTGGTAGATGGATCTAAAAAAGGTGAATATTGATGAGGCATCTCCTCCTAATTATAATTATAAGCAAGACTGACTTAAAAAAAAAATATATATATATATATCTATATAGATATATATAGATATATATATCACACCTGCGATCAGATCTTCCATCTGTTGCTTTACTTCCTGCCCACAGAAACATTCTTTCTGAGGAACGCTCAAATTGTAGTCCACTGCTGCTGCCAGAGGTGCTGACCCAGCTGTGAAACATACAAAGAGTAGCATTTAAGAACCAACACACTCTGCAAGATATAAATTCTGTTGTCTTGACAGTTTTCCGGTCAGCTTCAGAAGGTATTTCTAGATTGATCTGCTGGTGTTGAATGCAAACATTTAAAAAAGAAAGAAACAATACTTAGATTCTTACCAGCTGTGAAGGTGTGGCTGATACTGTATTGTGCGCATCATCACACATTTGAAAGTAGGAACTACCACAATTGTGTTTGTCATTACATTAGTGGGTGTTTGTCTGTCTGTGAACAGAAGGCGGGTGTGTACTAGGATTTGTCCTAGCTAATTACTCTTCTCTAGTTCCAATCCAACCCAGTCTCACAGCAAAACATGTAATACACACGCCAGACCTCCGTGTCTATTTCACGCTGCATTACCACCAGGGGGAGATAATATATTTAAAATCAAGAAGTTGGAAGTAAGCAAAAACATATGAAGTGCATTCCTGGGTCCTTAATCGCCAGAAACAATTAAACTAGGAGGCTACTATGTATATACATGAAAAAACTGTAATAATGTGTGTTGAAACACTTTCCCATGATTATTTTCATGTTGGCTTGAAATAAAATATCTCCCTCTGCTGGTTCTTCTGCATGCTTGTCTGTTTCACACTTTACTTCTCTAAAGTGTGAAATGGACACGGTGGACTGGCGTGTCTATTACACATTTTGCTGCAATATCAGGTTGCCCAATTCCAATTCCTAATAAATCCCAGAGGGCTAATTGGTAGCCCACGGTCAAATAATGACGTGTAGACAACTCTGCATTTCTGTAGACATCATAGGGGAACTATGAACAGTTCGACACTCAGTAGCAAAGGATTAGTAACTCTAATGTTCCACTTTATTGTTTCACATAGATGTTCTGGTGCAGAACTACAGGCTACCATTGACACATTTTGTCAGTGCAATCGTACCTCAACCATTCATACTATAGTCACAAAGCCTTATAGGAATGTAGCTAGCTTTAACATGAAGATGAAGCTGAAGATGGGCTTATTTTAGTTGAAAAGTCACTAGTATCACAGCTGGTGTGATCCTATCACAAGACAGTCTTTAGAGACAAAACATGTTTCCAATGTATTACTGTACTGCAGCAAACATCAGTAGGTGAGAGCAACCCTAGCTGTTTACCATGATGTGTGTTCACATCATGGTAAACAGCTACAGACCCAGTTACATTAATTGCTGACACACCCAAGTTTATTCATCAGTCATTAATAAGAGTTTCAAGCTTGCTCTGAAAGGTATATGTGTGTAGCGTGTGGTGTTCTAACAGTAAAAGGTAAAAGTTTGCCTTCATGGCAACAACATCCATGCAGGGAGGATGTTTAATGCAGGATTTTCATGCAGGAGACTGGAATTTGTGCCCCATGAAACCAAAAGTCTGTGTTGACTTATTACTGTAAGACTTATGAGACTTATTATTCACACACTAGGTGTGTCCAGGGTCACATTTTTAAAATATTTTTTACAGATCTTTTAACATCAGTTGTGCAAGTGTTAAAACAATATTTTTTATTGCTAATACCTGACAAGGACATGCAAGATTGCATTAAATTCATCAGTTCGCCTGCAGTTTCTTTTTACGCTGTAAGCTAATATAGTATGAATGGCACTTACATTGTTTCTGTGCACATGTCTTAACTGAGAACATATGTGGGTCTGATTTATGAGTAATGAACGTGTTGACTGACTGCATGCCTACGCAGGGTGCCATGTGTGTCTTCGAGTGTTATATTTGTCAGCTATTTGGACACTTATTTCTGTAAATTAATGGAAAAACTCCACGGTCACACATGAAGTGGTATGTGGACACACTGCCCACTCCACATTGCACTCATTCCTGTGCAGTTTAAGACCTCCTGCACAAATAGACACCACACTCCGTAAAAGCTGACGTCACCAAGGTCAGACACCATTCTCACCTGAACCAGAAAGAAACATTATATTATGTAAATGCTAGTGTTGTTTTATAAGTTATAGCACCATTTTATAGTTTAGAAGATGTGATCCAAGTAAGACATGTGCCCAGGAGATGAGATAGAGAGCAGAAATACAGACAAACATTTGCAAACCATTAATAGGTTGACTGAAAAGCTCCGTAAGAATGCACAGCAAGTCAAGGACATGATCTCTCCAGGATGTTCACAAACATCTGAAGACTTCATGACCAAAACCACAGAGGATTCACCACAAGCTGCAAACCTCTGGTGTCATGGTCGATCTGTTTGTTATTGGAGTTTTCCTGGTTTCTATAAAGTAAAAGTAAAGGCTTTTGGTTTGGGGTTGTTTCTTTGCCTCAGTTATGTTGCCCTTTATAGTGTTCTGATTTAAATATGGTTTCCCTTGATTTCTTTGTATTTCAATAATTTGTTAATATTTTAATATTCTAGTTTCTGTTAGTACCTATGGTTATTTTATTGGGTTCCTTGTATTTTGATTTATTGGTTATGTCAATAAGTCTGTGTCTGTTAGTTGCTCTATGCTTAGTCACTCAGAGTGTCTGGCCTGCCCTTGTCTTCGTTCTTTGTCAGAGCATGTGTTCCTTGTGGTTCCCTGATATTTTTGGATTTCTGTTTGTTGGCATTTTGGACTTAGCCTTTGGTCTTGGTTTGGACTCTGGATTCAGTGTGAATAAAAGGCTCACCTTTTGTTAGCCCAGCCTGCATTTGGGTCCTAAATAATAATACATGTCAGATGGTAAGCCTTAGCTACAGAAAAACAGGATCCAGTCCACAAAAAGACAACCTGATAGAGCACTATAACATTTTTTAAGTTTTCTGTGAGCTCTTAGGGCAGAAGCAGAAAAAAAATAAAGCTAAAGAGGTTCGTGTTCATCTTGTGTTTTTTAATTTCTATACAAAAATTGTTTCAGAGACGAGAACAAGCAGAGAAGCAAATCTGCTGTTTGCACCTGTCTACTTAAACAGAAGTGGTCAACATGACAGCGCTTAATATTGACTAAAGTATGCTTCATTACATTCACATTCACGCCAGTGCACACAGTCTGTTAAAAAATCGGGCAATGGCTGATAAACCATGGGTGCCTGAGTCTCAATATTTACTTATCTTGTAGGTGTGTGTTGTACAGTTGGTTGAGGTGAACAGTTTCAGACCAGCTTTTTAGCACAGCACTGTGGGGCTCTTAGTGGCAGCTTAGCGACACTTTACCTTCACTGAAGTCTACTCTGACGATAAGATGATCAGTGGTGGGAAATGTCAACACTGGAAGCAAAGAATCCCGTTTTATGACTCAAATGTGAACCACGGCCTAAATCAGAGGTTTCCAACCTGAAGACTGAGGTATTATTCCAGACAAAACACAAAGGACTGTAAGTCAACATGGCTTCATGATTCAAAGCTCCAGGCCAAACAAGGTGGATTTTGGCCGCAAAGAACAAACAGAACAACTACAAAAGAGAGTAGACAAAAAGTAATGGTGTGCAATGGTGGCTTATTAACGCATGAAAAAGACAAGAAGCCTAGGAACAACTAGTAAGTCTGCACTCTGAGAGCAAAGTGCTCTATTAAGATAAATTGGTACTATTAGTGGTATTTTTAAATATCACACAAGTGCCTGGCTCGATGCTGGGCAAGAGTCATCTTCAAGTGAATGTGAATCTGTAAATCTCTCAGGAAGGAAGGGAAAACTTGTGCTAATAGTATCACTCTTTCAAGACCTGTGAGTAAGGCTGGTGTTTCATTATACTACAGTGGTATTGCTGAACATGCTCAAGTACAGAGTCTCTGTTAGAGCTCAAGGCTCTGCTCATGGCTCTGTTTAAATAGGTATTTGCTTGAAATGGGCATGGACTATTTTGAGGCAAGCAATACCACAATATCTTCTTTTTCAAAGAATGCCTTTGTAAATGCAAAATGTATCAATTCATCTCATTCTATAAATAAGGAAATAATTACTTTTTTGTTATAATTAATATAAAAAGGTACAAACATATTCAGTTCTGCACATTTAGTATGTTTTCCTGCTTTGTTCACCTAACCTGAGCAAATAAATAACTTACTATGTAAGTACAGTCCCAATATTATTATATTATATTAACAGTATCAGCAGTGGGGGAAAAAGAAGATGAAAAATAAATAATAAAAAATAAAAATCACTTACCATAAATAAATGTATTTTTATGACAGTATTTATAAATGGTATTCTTTTATTTTATTACTATGTAATTATCCTTCTTCTTATAGTTTTAAGGTAAGATATACTTCCTTTATCTTGCTGTTTCACAGCATTAAACACAGCTCTTAACAGAGCTTTAAAACAGTAAACGCTTAATAAAATAAATACACTATAACAAGGCAAAATAGCTTAATCAGGTAAAACTTATATAGAAGAAGTGAAATTAATATAAAATGTAAGAACTTCGAAGAAAGTGTAAATATAATATAAAAAGGGCTTAATAAAAAATAAATTCACGTATTGTGGTATGAGGTGGTAACGTATATCTATATCTCTTCTCTATCTGTGGCAGAGAAGATGAGAGCCATCTGATATAAAATAACTGGCTGACATTTAATGTGTAAATATTTGTCTATTTTTAATTCAGCTTTTGCTTGAAAATGCAAATAAAGTAACAATACTTTTACTTGAGTTCAGTATCCCAGGACTAACACAGACAAATATGCTATATTGTAACAAATAGTTCCATACTGATGGTGGTTTAAATGAAAATACTAAATCTAGAGAAGAGGATGCATTGCTAAGATTTTATGGCTCCCACCTGAGCAGTGATGATGAAACAGAGCTCACCTGATTTCTGATGGTGGTGTTGGAAAGAAGTCAATGGTCAGACTGTCGGAGCAGTTGTCCCCTACCATGTCACCTTATGCTTCACAAAACCTTCACCCATTGGATAATTTAGCTCTTTATCTAAAGACTGCTGCCATTTAATGCTATGACTGATGCCTTACAGAAAGCCTCAGCAGTGCTTTAATTTCTCAGTAAAGCC